AAAATTTGGAGGCTACTTAAAAAGCTGGACATCGATCTACCATTTGATCCAGCAATACCACTCTTGGGGATATACCCAAAAGACTGTTACTCCAGAGGCACCTGCACATCCATGTTTATTGCGGCACTATTCACAATAGCCAAGTTATGGAAACAGCCAAGATGCCCCAGCACTGACGAATGGATTAAGAAAATGTGGTATCTATACACAATGGAATTTTATGCAGCCATGAAGAAGATCGAAATGTTATCATTCACTGGTAAATGGATGGAATTGGAGAACATCATTCTGAGTGAGGTTAGCCTGGCTCAAAAGACCAAAAATCGTATGTTCTCCCTCATATGTGGACATTAGATCAAGGGCAAACACAACAAGGGGATGGGACTTTGAGCACATGATAAAAGCGAGAGCACACAAGGGAGGGGTGAGGATAGGTAAGACACCTAAAAAACTAGCTAGCATTTGTTGCCCTCATCGCAGAGAAACTAAAGCAGATACCTTAAAGCAACTGAGGCCAATAGGAAAAGGGGACCAGGAACTAGAGAAAAGGTGAGATCAAAAAGAATTAACCTAGAAGGTAACACCCACGCACAGGAAATCAATGTGAGTCAATGCCCTGTATAGCTATCCTTATCTCAACCAGCAAAACCCCTTGTTCCTTCCTATTATTGCTTATACTCTCTCTACAACAAAATTAGAGATAAGGGCAAAATAGTTTCTGCTGGGTATTGTGGGGGTGGGGGGGAGAGGGAGGGGGTGGAGTGGGGGGTAAGGGAGGGGGTGGGGGCAGGGGGGAGAAATGAACCAAGCCTTGTATGCACATATGAATAATAAAAAAAAAAAAAAGTTTTGCTGGGTGCCTGTCATTTCAGCTACACAGGAGGCTGAATGAAATCAGGAGGATCGCAGTTCCAGGCTATCCCAAGCAAAACAGTTCTTGAGATCCCATCTCAATGGAAAAAAGTTGGGCATGGTGGCATGTACCTGTCATCCCAGTTTCGTTGGGAAGAATAAAACAGGAACATCAGAGCCCAGGCTGGCCTGGGCAACAAGTGAGACCCTATCCCCAAAATAACCAGAGCAAAAAGGTCTGGACGAGTGGCTCAACTGGTAGAGCGCCTGTCTAGCAAGCACAAAGCCCTTTGATTACAAACCCTAGCACACACCCCAACAGAAAGTTTTATTTTTTGGATAACAGTTATGTAAATATAAAAGTTTCTTGTAAGCAAATGAAAAATTACACAACTGATGTAGACATGAGTGAAATTGTCTGTGTAGGAGACTCTATCCCTCAATTCTCTGACTTTGAAACAAGTTGAAGGATCTCGCAGCTATTCATGTGACACACAACTAGGAGAAAGTTACAATTCATAAGGCAGAGTTAAAGAAACCTGGGTTTGGAACATTCCGTGCTGTCCTTTTTGTAAGGAAACAACATTCCTATAAAGGATTCTAGAGGCAACTATCTTGCCAAGATCTCAGGAGTGAGTTCTGATCTTTGGAGGTCCCCAGAGGGCTAGAGTCACCTTGCCAAGATCTAGACAGAGGAGCTGTGGATAGAGGCTCACACTTGGTGGCTAACCACTAAGTCACATCACCTTAGCTTTGGAATCCATAAATTGATTTCTGGGAGCTGAGCAATGAGAAGGGAAGACAAGAGCAATAATGGGGATAAAGGGCATTTCTTTTGAGACCAGCATGAAATAAATAACAGAAATGAGGTAAGAAATTGCAGAAGTAGACATACCATAGACCTGATATTAAGATTTTGCTGTTAATTAATCTCATTTATCCTCAAATGACTTAAGACCTGCATGCTTACACCCTTTTCTTTGTTTGCTTGGTGTTTTTGAGACAGAATCTTGCTATGTAGTCCAGGCTGGCCTTTAACTTGCAATCCTTCTGTCTTTGCTTCCTGAGAGCTGGGATTATACCAGTTGAGCCACCACACTCCGCTTCTTTAACCTTAAGTGACAGCATGAATTCCCTTTCAACTTCCCATTGGCTTTTCACCTACTTTTATCTCTTGTGCTCTTCAGATAAGATAGGTGGAATTTCTATCACCGTTTCCTAGGTTTAAAAAAACAGGACAGACACTCAAGACTAACAGAGGAAAAGGTTGTTTAAAGGTAGGAATGGGATTAGAGCCCAGTATTCTGACTACCAGCCCCTAGGTCCCCTCAATGTATAGTCCTATGCTTACATAATGGGTTATGATTTTTTGGAGGCATGAATGTCTTTGGGAACCCAATTATAACTGTAAACACACACACACACACACACACACACACACACACACACACATAATTAATTAATTTAGGTTTAATGGAGTCTCTCCACTCTACTCAAAGTCATCAAGCCAAGTAAAAGCCCCTCAGTCTTTGCAGTGAAATGAGACAGGCTGGCTGAGGCTTGGTGAGGTACAAGACTGTCTTTCTTGCCTCCTTTTAATCACTGGAATACTTCCTACAGGCCAAAAGTTGATTATTGTGGTCATTTGCACTTCCTTAAACTCCCCTTGTGTATACAGAGAAGCAAACAAAACATTCCCCCCAAAGCAACATTAAGGGTCTAGTTTCAACCCACAAAATGACAAGAAAATGGAGATCATTAGCACAACCACATATACAGAAGAATCAAAGATAACCAGAATAAGTGTTTAGCTGACAGACCCAGCTTTTGGATCTATCATTTCCAATGTGAAGTGGCAATTTTAATCTCCTTTGTCTTCTCATCTTAGAGATATATGGATGAATTTATAACAAATCTAGGGTTCTTCTTATCAAAATACATTATAAAGCAATTCCTTTCAGTAGCACCCTGTGACTTGAATAGTGATTAGCTTTCTAAGGGCAAAACAAATATGTGAATGAAAATCCCAAAAGGAACTTGGATCCTGGAAAGTCCCTTATGCAAATCCAATGACAATATAAAGCACGATGTCCAATAAAGCATTAGCCCTGTCACCAGGCCTTCATATAAATCCGGGGGTGAGGATATAGAGAGGAGGGGTGTGCCCTTTTTTTCTGCCTTAAGTTATATTTTCATGCTAACCCCTGAACCTCAAAAGCAGTTTTCCGGGAGGGAAAAAGAAGAACCAGGGAACAAATGAGAACTCCATAAATGAAGAGGATAAAAAAGGGCATTGCAGAGGAACTGGAGAAACCTACAAGAGGTCTCACCTGCTGAGAAGTCACAGGTGAGTTGACAGCTTCTTCACTCTCATCCAGAAGGTTAAGTTCAGAGGTTTCCTAACAGCCAAACTGGCCTGAATGGGGGCTGACTCTCCTACTCTGAGTGCCCAAGCCCCTCCTCCTTGGCAGACCTTAGTGCTTGGTTTTCATTTCAAGTGCACTGATGATGTCCTGGGGGCTCAAGTCTTAATGCAAGTGTTAGAGATGAAATGATGATCCATTCCTCCATCTGCATTTTTTAGTATTTTCATGATGCCTTATCCCATTTTGTTCTTACAATAAGCCCGTAAAGTAGTTGCACTTCCAATTCCAGTTAAGGAAGGCCCCTATGTACATCATTAGCTACTGAAGTCCAGGAAAACAAAAAACAAAGAAAGAAATTGTATCACTAGGAGACTTTCCTATATTAATTATAATTTAATACGGTTAACAAAATTTAATAAAATCTTTACACTGGGCAGTTACAACTAAATATTTAAGAACATCTGTTTATATCAAGGCAAGTAGCTAAAAGTTAAAGAGCAATATGGACTCTGGGCCATCAATGTGAGGTTTCTTGTTTTATCAGGGTGCAGGTCTGAGAGCAATGCAAGAAACGATTCAAAACAGAAACATGCACGAACAGTCGTCCAGACGCTGGACCTGACTTTTACTGCTTTAACTGTGCTTTGCAAAGTTTCTTTCGTTTCTACCTTTTCACCCTTTTTCTAAAAGCAAGTTTCCCCCGTTTTGAACCACAAGACAAGCAGTACACTTTTGGTCTGGCTCAGTCACACTACAGCCTTGAAAAAACCAATCTGACAAAACAACTATTATTTCTAGATGGCAGTCTGGAAAAAAAGGACCAAATCCCCAGCTTTCACGCATTATTCGTAACACCATGCAATATAGAAATGCTATTCAATTCCATTGTCTTACTTGCTCCTCAAGCTCAATCCCTATGCATCCCACATGTCTCTTGGTAGAGCCACCTCTCCCTCCCAACAGCAAAAGCTCCCATGATCTCACTGCAGCAAATGCCCTGCAGGAAATCAGTAAAGAGTACAAGTGCTTTCTCATGCCTTGCTCATTCATGAAACCTCCATCTCTATATGAAAGGACTGTGGAGTAGAAAGGGAAGGGAAGGAAACAGAGCTCTTTGGAGGCCTTTGCTATGTTGTCAAATAGCCACTACACCACAACCACCTTCACCTTCCCCAGCTTCACATAGAATTGGCTTCTACTGGACTACTAACAGTAAAATCGCAGAGAACAAAGAGATCAACTGGGCTACAAGACACAAGGGCATTATCCCATTGTCTTTCCGAGGCTGGCTTCAAATGTTGTGTGGGGCCACGGCACTACAGAAGGCTGGGTTTCTCTGTGAGCTGTGGGGATTAGCTGGTAGATTTTAGGCAGGATTTCAATTTCATATATATATATATATATATATATTTTTTTTTTTTTTTTGGAGCTAGGCAAGTACTCTAACACAGAGTGACACCCCCAGTCCCATCAATTTCATGTTTTAAAAAGCAAGTTCCTTCTAGTGGTGATGTAAAAGATGCATGAAACCCAAGGTCAGGAAGCTAGTGCAATAACTCAGGTAAGAGGGTCATAGAGCCTAGACAGAGGCAGTCAATACACAGGGGAAGGAAGAAGAGGGGATGGAGGCATGCTCAATGGTGCTGGTGACAGAAGGGACAGTAGGGCAAGATATGCTGCAAAGGTAGCTTCTCATGGCCTCTTAACTACCAGAGACACTACAGTGATACAGAAGACTCATAAGGAAGGCCACTCACCAAGGTTTTATCTCTAGTCCCTTACCTTGGCAGCTGAGTTTGACACTCCATGTGTAACATTTCTGATAAGGCCTCCAACATTTCCATACTTTATCAGTCCAGTAACTCCTTCAGAAACATCATTCAAAAGGCCCATGGGATTGCCAAGAAAATCTACTGATCCCAGGATTCGAGCTGCCTGGCTGAGGAGTTCCTGTCAAGGGGAGTGGAGGTTGGGGAGAAAAATCAAATCAGCACCAGTTTGTAACTGCAGATATCAGGGTCTCCAGCAAAAGGCCAGAAATCTGTCTTATCCTCCATTCCCATCACTGCCAACAATTACCTTTTAATCTATATTTACTGTCCTATCATAGGCTCCACCTAAAATTCTCCCAATACATGTACACCAGATTGTTTCCAATACACTTAGAAATAAACTTCAAAGCCAGTTAGAAGAAGAAAAATAGCTATGAAATCGAAAAGATTATTCTTTCTGAGTGTTGGCCTACACATCATACTCTCCATTATCCCTACTAAAAGAGAATCAGGCAGGAGCAGAGAAGGTAGATGTAGTGCCCCATCCTTAGCTGGGGTGGAGAGGAAAGTGAGGGCATAAAGTAGCTTATGAAGCAACAACCCTCTACTGTCCTGTAGCTCCCACTACCTGACTCCAGGCTCCAGTGACATCTGCTATAATGTCTCCTTACAGTTAAGTAGAGATATCACCAATTAGGAAAGTCAAGGAAGAAAATGAGGGACAGAGAAAAGGAAGCAAGAATAGGACATATTTTAACTTTGAAAGCTAACAAATAGTGTATAATCTTTACTATTCATTGAAAAATGTGTTTTGGCTTTATATTTTGATCTGTGCAGTTTGAGTAATAAACACATACTGGAAAATGTCCAACTTGCTAAAAGAATTTCAAGTTCAACTCAAGGGCAGGCTCTCATAGGCTCTAAGAACACTGGTGTGGTTGTTGAAAGTGGGCCCATGGCTATTAAATAAAATGTGATATTACTGAAGTATCAATTAAACCATTAAGAGTTGTGACTAAGCTAGTGAAAGCCTGAGACTAGCTCTGAGAAACAAAACAAGCAGATCACAAGTCAAATGTACTGTGTTAGATTTTTGTGACATATAAGGGCTTCATAGGACATGACTGACTCATACATAACTTGAGAGCTAAAATGTTTAAACTGGATTCTCAGTAGTACTGTCTTAGTAATCAAGACTCCCAAACAACCAAAACAAACATTTTGCTTATGGTCCAGTTGCTAAGGAGTTCTCCAAAGCTCACCTCCTGGAAATGTTTGAGGACATCATTGATGATGAACTCCTTGGTCTCATAGGGATGGACTCGAGTGAACGGGTCCAGATTGATCACAGCATCTTCAAACCGAATCAGTGGGAACCCTAAGGTGCTTTTTAGTGCCTAGTTAGGGAAGAAGGAAAACGACAGGTTAGCTGTGTGACGGCCTTACAATGTACTCTAATTCTAGAATCATGAAAGTTATGAGTCATGCCAACTTTCCAATAGGGGTCAAGGTTTTAATATATATTAAAAGATTTTTCCCTATAATCAATCATAAAAGTAAAGTATTAGGGAAATGTATGTATACACATACACATACATGTCTGTCTGTCTATCAATCTATCTACATATCACCCAAAGTTACATACACCACATAGAAATAAACACTGTTGGCTTCCTGGCATAATTCCTTTTGGTCTATTTTGAATGTGTGCTCCCACACATACAGAAAGGATAATAATCAAATGCCTAGTTCAATGGTTTTTCCCATGATGAACACAAGATGAAACCACGACCGAGGTCAGAAAGCAGATTCTTGTCCCCACTGTGGAAGCAGCTCCTCTTCCTTTACACATTTCTCGGTGCTGTTCCCTCCCTCCCTCAAGACTTCCAGCACCACAGATTAGGATTTCCTTTGTTGAATTTTATATAAATGGAACCATAAGCATGTATGTGTTTCTTACAGGCAGTAATAAGATCCACTAGACTGTTGCATACAAGTACAGCGTATTAATTTTTTATTGTTATTTAATATTCTATTGTACAAATAAAATCCAATTTATTTAATCATTACTACTGATGAGAAGTTGGGTCACTTCAAAGTTTTTGTTTTTATGAATAGTGCTAATTCTTAGACATTTCTTTTGGGGCACAGTCACATGCATTTTTCTTGGACATAGACCTAGAACTAAAGTTGCTGAGTCATAAAAAACGAACAGGGTCAACCTCAGTATATACTGCCTAACAGCTTTACAGAGTGGCTGAACAAGTTTTTGCTCCCTCAAATAGTCCACAAAATTCCGTTGTTCTATGTCCTCTTTTGCAATTGCTACAAACAGCTTTTAGCAGAACAGATATTCTGAAGGGTGTGTAATGATACTTCAGTGTGGTTTCTTTTTTAAATTTTATGAGGTACTGAGGTTTGAACTTAGGGCCTCACACTTGCTAGGAAGGGAGTCTATCACTTGAACCACTCCCACAGCCCTTTCAGGGTGGTTTTGATGTTTATTTTGTGTTATAAAGATTAACATTTTAATAATATTGGCCATTTGCACATCATTTCTGTAATGTGTTTATTCAAGTCTTGTACTCACTTCTTATGAGATGTCTACTTTTTTCTTATTGTAGCATATACTGCAAACAAGTCATCTGTTGAGTAAATGTATTGAAGTATCTTCCCTGTCTGTAATGGGTCTAGTTATTCCTTCAGTGGTGTCTTTTAGTGGTCAGACATAACTTTGTTTTAAGGACATTCATCCTATCAATCTTTTCCTTGATGGGATGAGCTTTCTGGTTAATGAAGTACCACCTACCATAAAGCTACAGAAGCTTTACTGTTTTATTATTCACACTTACATCATGTGACTTATACACAGGATGTGAGGCAGGCATCACTCTGCACTGTTTCCAGGTGGCAGACAATCGACTAAGTAGTAGTTATTGAAAACATCACCCTTTTCCTATTGCAATACGGTGTAAAGTTTGTCATAAGTCAGGTGACTCTATATATTTGCTTCTGGATCCTTTCTTCTACTTTGTTTTGTTCTGCCTTCTACCAATACCACAGTTTTAATTAATTACTATGGCTCTGTAATAACTTCTGAAATCTAATAGTGTAAGCTCTCCAATTTCATTCTTCTTCTTTTAGAACTACCTTGGCTATTTATTACACTTTTCACTTTTTTTTTTTTTTAAAGTCTGTTAATTTACCCACAAAAAATAGCCAGAATTTTAATTGGGATTATACTGACTGTATGAGTCAACTTGAAGAAAAATGACAACTTTGCAATACTGAATCTTCCAGTGTATTAATACAGCATATCTGTTTATCTATTTAGGTCTTTAATTTCACTGAATAATGTTTCCTTGTTTTCTGAGTAAGTATCTTGTACATTTTTGTTCGAGGAATCTCTAAGTATCTGTGAAGCATTAAAAATGGCCACAAGTTCTTTGCATCTTCTACAAAGAGATGGGGGCTATTTTCCCTCCACTTGAATCTTCACTAACCTGAACATTTGCCTTAGTCAGTAGAATGCAGAAGAAGTAATGTCATGCAACCTCCAAACTTATGCCTCAAGAGACATACTTGGAACCTCTACTCTACACTTTTTGATGCCTCTACTACATGGGGAAGCTGGGACCAGCCTCCTTAAAGATGTCAGACCATGAGAAAGCGGTTCTGTTGACAGCACATCTTATACCACTCAGGATCCCCTGAATGTGCCAAGTGACTGTGGTCACACAAATAACCACAGTGAGGTAGGCAGAAGACCCACCCAGCTAAGTCCAGACCAATTACTGACCCACAGATTGTGAAGAAATAAAACAGTTGTTTTAAACCATTAAGTTGGGGATGGCTTGTTACATAGTAATACATAAGTTACAGCATTCATTGTTTACCTAATGTCATTGGAAATTATATCATCCAAATTTTCCTTTTCTCTGTAATTGCTGCTGACATACAGAAATAAAATTGATTTTTATATACTGTCTCCAGCAACCTCACTGAACTTATTTCATCACTCTACAATCATGTTCTCCACAAACAATAAAATCTTCATTTTCCTTTACAGTTCTTATAACTTTTCTTTCTTTTTTTAAAATGTTGCTTGCCGTATGGCACTGGCTAGGATTCTCAGTATAACCGTGACGAAAGATGTGACACGGGCATCCTTCCTGTGTCAGGGAGAAGCGTTGTAGATTTCCACAGATGTACTTTGGCAGATCAGACAGTTCCTTTTATAGATTGCTGAGGTTTGTTTTTATAAGTGGATGTTGAATTTTGTCAATTGGCTTTTGTGCATTTGAGATAACCACAAAAAAAAATGTAGTTTTTTTGACATACGGTGAATTATACAATTTACTTGTAAATGTTAAACTAAACTTGCATTCCTGGAATAAACCCAGTTTGGCTATATTTTCCTTCTTATATATTGCTGTATTTAGTTTGCCAAATAGATTTAAAAATTTTTTTAATTTAGATTTTTTTCTTCTATGTGCATGAAAATTCTCCCTTATTTTTAAAAATAAATTATGGTTTTCTGTTAAATTTGTTGAACACATTCATGGTTAACTGAAATTCCGCATCTGAAATACCAACATCAGGTTTATCTATGGTTTCATTTCTAGTGCTGGTTTTTTTCCCTCTTAATTCTATCTCATAATGGGTCTGGTAGTTTGTGATTTAATGCAATAGTTTGTATGAGACATTATAGAGAATTTCAATGAGTCTGGCAGGCAGGTACAATGAAAAATATAATGTTTTAATCCAACCAGCATTTGGGTTTTCCCAAGAATGGGATTCCAGCTTTCTAAATTCTGGTCTAGTTCAGTCATTATAAGGTCTGATAAGGCACTTTAACCTCCTGACTGAAAAGTAATGCCATTCCTCCAATGTTAATCTCCCCAGTACCAAAACACTGCTGAGCACTGAGACTGTAGCTCAGTGGCAGAGAGCTTGCCTAGCATGTACAAGGCCTGGGTTCAAGTTCCAGAACTGCAAAAATACCAAAAACGAACAACAAAAAAAACCTGCTGAAAGGGCTGTTTACCTCTCACCTTCCTGGCTACCACTTTCTGCTTGGCTTCTCTTGGACTAGGTCACTTAGAAATTGGTAGATGCCTGGAGAAATGAAGCAGTTCAGAGGAGTGGGGTCTGTTTTCTACCTAATCCTCTCTGAAGGTACTGCCTTTCAACTACCAGCTCTTGTAGCAGCAGGAGCTTCCACTTTTGCTTGTAGTCCCATGACACTGCTAGAACGTTCAGCTGGATTGTCTTTGGCAGCTGTTTCTACTTTTGTTCTTTGCTATTCTCCCTCTACCAGTTACACGTCATGAAAAAAGTCTCAAGAAAAAAAATACATGTTGGACTCACCTTACGGAGTTTCTCGCCTCTCCTAAATCTTGGACCCTCAAGTACTGACTGTCTTGGTAGTCTTGGTAGCTCTCCAATGGCTTCAAATAAACTTTAAAAAGTTGGGGTTTTTTTGTTGTTGTTAATCTAGTTTTTCTTAAAGTTCTCAGCTTGTTTGGCTATAAGCCAGTTAACAATTTCTAGATATGGGTCCATTTTCTGATTATATTTTTATTTAACGTGACTGTTACTTCGAGGTGTTTAGAAGACATGCCAACTTCTCTTCTTTATTGAATGAACTTTTTCATGCTAATGCCATCAGTAAATCTCTGATCCACTCAGAATTTATCCTTATAGAAAGTGTCAAGAATATATCTAATTTTATAATAATCTAACATATAATAATCTGATATTTTGAGTCTATTAAAATGTCTATTCGATATTAAGAGCTCATGTATAATTTAATGGAATTTCTATTCTGTTTCTCATTTATCTCTTAACTTTTCTGCACGTGTTTTCAGAAGCTGCCTTAAATTCTTTTGGAGCAAGAAAATGTTTAATTGAAATTAAATCACATCATAGAAGAAAAAATGGATAGAATTTTCTAAAAAGGGGGAAAACCTTTTTGACTCAAATTTCAGATACAAAAAGGCAATAGACTGATACATTTGATTAAAATAAAAACCTTGTTTAATTGAACATACATAAAGCAAAATAAAGGCAAAAAACTGAAGGAAAAAACACTTGTAACTTTCATCACAGACAAAACTTTCATAAAGAACTTCTAAAATTACAGGCGATAAAAGACCAATAGTTCCATAGAAAAGTGGACAAGTGACATGACCAGACAGTTCACAGATAAAAGGACTGTCCCTTTAATGTGGGTTCGAAGAAGAAGCAAAATACAACAGTGAAAAGGGCAGAGAAGCAGCAAACAAGGAAGAGGAAATCCAGAAGGAACAGTTATCAAGAAGAAGAGATCAGAAATATCAAACAGCAGAGGATTCAATGAAGATGACAACAGGAAATGGATTTGGTGCCTTGGGAAATCACTGATAGCTTCTAATAAACAATTTCAGAGAGAAGCATTTTTAGAGACTAGCAATACTATTAAATTAATTCTCTCTCCTTTCCCCCCTTCCTCTCCATCCCATACACGTGTGCACACGCACAAACGTGCACAAATAAAACTGAAGATGTGTTAAGTGCATGTCCGAAACTCATGCAGCTAGCTATTAGTAGGTCTTAGACTCGAACATGTTTGTTTCATAATAGTAATTACCAAATAGGTAGAAAGTGTGAAAGCTATTTTTCTTCAAAAACTTTGTTATCCATTCACCCAGGTGATGAAATAGTAAGCATGTCTTACTGTCCTCATTTTACTGATGGAGAAACTGAGGCTCAGCAAGTTTAACTGCTTTGCTCAGAGTCACAGGACAGCATGCTGGGAAAGCCCAGGACTGACCTTCAGTTCAGCAGCCCGTTTTACCAACATAACTCTGAGCATTACGTTCTTCTCAGAGAAGAGGAAGTGTGACTAAACAAAGGCTTAAGGCAAAAGCCTTTTTTTAACCCCAACTTCCTTACTGAAATCAAATATTGAAGAAGGACCACACATAGTTGCAAAGGTTTAAGAACTCCAAGTTACCAAAGCCCCGGGATAAACACCATCCCCTCTTCCAATAACTACAGTGCTTTGTCTGCACCAAGGAAAATAGCCTGCTCTGAGTGAAAATCATCCTCACCTAGTCACTTACTGCTGAGGCTTCCTATATTTGAAAAGGCTTAGATACAGCCTTATTGATATGAATTATTCTGCCACCTTCAGGTTGATCTGGTCAGTCAAAGTAGAAGACAGAGAGGGAAAGAAAGGGCCAAACAAGAATTTCTTTTTGTGGTACTGGGGTTTGAACTCAGGGCCTTCACCTTGAGCCACTCCACCAGTCCTTTGTGTGATGGGTATTTTCGAGATAGGGTCTCATGAACTATTTCCCCGGGCTGGCTTTGAACCTTGATCCTCCTGATCTCTGCCTCCGGAGTAGCTAGGATTACGGGTGTGAGCCACCGGCACCCGGCCAGGACTTTTTCTTGAAGTAAGTAAATGACTAGTCATGTACAGTAGTGTACTACATTGATGCTTACTCACTCAAGTAGCAGTTTCCTGTTATAAAATACGTTCTGTGCTCATCAGTTCTTGATAAAACTAGAAAACTCTATTCCTTCCTCCCCAGATAAAATTACTGAAGCCTTCCAGAAACGTGGGATTAAAAGAAGAAATACCTGTGTATGAGGTCTCAGATCACAAGCTGTGCCCTGCGCCATGTCCTCTCCTTTCTGAGTTTATCCTGCACTAAACAAAACTGTCTGGAATTCATTCGTGAAAGGTTTATTTATGGTACATGGAGACTGCTCATGTGAAGCAGTGTATTTGCCTATGTCCCTCTTGGGACAGTGTTTAAAGCTACAGGGATAATTTCCCTCTCTAGCACTTTCTGAAATACAATTAACAATACCGGACCTTTTCTCCTTTTAACAAATCTGGTTTTTATTTAAGGAGGGAAGGAAAAAAGTAAAGGGTCTGAAGTTTCCCAACAAATTATTTCAAGCCTTTGAGAAGACAGTTTTAGGCTTTTAAAATAGTGTCTTTGTTTAAAATTCCCCCTTACCCCACCCTCTCTCTCTGACCATTAAAATGTGGGTTTTCTTCCAAACTAGATTGCTCAATTAAAGCCCTTCTTTTGTAATACCCTAGTGCTCTAAATGGGAAAGGAACTGCTGTAGGCCACCTTATGAAACCTTTTAAGGGCTCCTGGCCTCTTTTGATCTTTAAAAAACCCCAAAACACATATATAGGCTACCTGGCATTTTCAGTTACTATGCCACTCAAACATGCAAACTTGGGAGAATGGAGAGACCAGGTGGGGGAGGGAACGCGCTTTTGTCTCTGCATTTGTAAAATGGAACTACTACCTCCCCCTTCCTCCATCAGAGTCAGGATCCAATTGAGATAGCAGATGTGAAACTGCTCTGAGTCCCTCTGAACAGACACTGTATCTGGCAACAATGTACCCTCAGTGTAAACCTGGAGAGGCTCCCCTCGGAGATTTCTGACAGCCTCGCTCCTGGCTGGGAATCAGGAGAATGGAGATAATTATTCCTTCAATACCAAAGACAGGCTTACCTTTTAGTCAGGCTCTAGCGATTCCTGTTCAGGGAGAGGCCTCCATTTCCTAACTATATACTTTTAGCAGTTACATATTCATTAAAAAAGAGTATACTGTCCTAAGAACAACTAATAAAGAGAGATTACTCTGTTAGGAAACTCCAAATAAATGGCATTGTCTTATGAGTCTCAGCCTCCACTATGAGAACTTAAGACACAGTAAATAGTGACTTCCACAAGCTGAGATTTTAACTCTGAAGTCCCAATTTCCAGCACCCTGCTTGAAATATTAACTTACTACCCTCTGTGCAACCTACCCCACAACCTCCTTATGTGACTATGCCTTGTGACTTGTTTAACAATGATTTGAGAATACCATGAAAATGTTCCTTCAGTGTGGTGCCAGGTGAGACATTCAACCTAAAGGATCAGAAAGCTGTGAATGCAAAGTATATGTACACACACACACACACACACACACACACAATCTCACACACACACACACAATCACACACACACACACAGATCACACACACACAGATCACACACACACACAGATCACACACACACAGATTACACACATACACAGATCACACACACACACAGATCACACACACACAGAGATCACACACACACAGATCACACACACACACACACACACACACATACACACACAGAGATCACACACAGATCAATACCATCTAACTGGGCCTGCCTACTTCAACTGTAGAAAAATCATTCTGTTTTTGTCAGTCTGGGGAATTCTTCTGCTGGAAGCAATCTGGAAGGAATAGTTAGGTGTCTATGATTCTTAGTAAAATGATTTTAAAAACAAGAAGTCCTCAACTTTCAGGAAATGCTTAGCATTGGTTTGCTGGGTGAGTGCCAAGTGTTCTGGGAGAAAATACTTTATCAGGGGGTCATATAAGTCAAGTGGATACTTGTGGATAGTAGCAAGATAGTGGTTTTCCCATGGTTTTCCCCTCACTCCCATGCTAATTACAACTATCTCCAGTCTCTTGGGAAACATGAAATTAAAGCAGATGAAGCAGCGGGCATCACGAGCAGAGGGCACTTGTGCCATTCTAAGGATGCCCTCTTCTCCCGACCAGCTCTCCCAGCTCTCATCACCCTTCGCACTTCACTGGATAGTCGCCCTTGCCCTGCCCAGATCCGAATTCCATCTGATGTTCACCAGACTCCTGTCCCATTACCTGTAGGTCTATTTTATAGGCTGTGAGCTGGCAGACCACGGACCACATGAGGCCCACACATGTGTTTTGTTAGGCCCACAAAGTTTAAAAAAAATACAAGAAACTTGAATTAGTTGCCAACATTTAAAAACCAGGAGATTCCACATTTTAAAAAAATTCCACATTTCTAGTTTCTCTTTAAAAATCTGAAGATCTGACAACCTTGGGTTCCCATTCTCCTACTACATCACCTGTATGTGAGATGCACTGCCCCTTCTGATAAAGGGTGTCCACATTCTTGGTACGCATGGTCCCTACACTACCTAGCTTGCTGGCTAGCAAGCTGCATAGACATCTCAGTCTATGATTTCAGGTTTATACTTATTGCTCCAATCTCTAGCTATTCCTGTGCAAAAAGAGAGACCATCTTGCAACATCTGAGAAGAGGCAGCACAGGGTGGTGGAAAGAGTTTAGACAGCAGTTAGTGGGAAGAAGGAGGTCTTGATAATGGTCAAGTACAATAGAGAAAGTCAGAAGTGATGGGTGCAAGCTGTAGGTTTAGAGTCAAATTAGGAAAAAGACTTCCCAACACTCACCTGGTTCTATTCCTGCTCCCCATCACTACCTAGCTACACAAGCCTGAGAAACTAAACACTGAATTTCAGTTTTTCTGTTGACCAAACCTGGGCATCACTGAAGACTCATAAGTCTAAAATTCTCTTGATTCCTCATGTTCTAGGGGGCAGAACAATATAGTGAAAAAAATGTAGACATTACATAGGCTTGGATTTGAATTCCAGCCTTCTCCCTGGCTTAAAATATGTTTTATTGCTGAAAATGAAGATGGTGTTGAGGCTGTATCTGTCATGAACATATCGAGATGGTCAGTAGCAGTGGTACATCTTGATGCTTAGGCAGGCAAGGCCTCATCCCAGCGAGCATACTGTTGAGTCTGCCTTGAAGGTGGCAGACCTTCCTAGTGACAATCATCCAAGAAGAGGTGGATACTAAGAGAGGAAGAGAGAACTAGGAGGGCAGGTCTTGGGCACAAAAGGAAGGTAACTGTCTTGGTCTTGGTTCTTTTAGAGAGTGGAAGCAGTCCTAGGAAAGTGGCTTTACCTCTCTTGAGATATGCCAGGAGCTACATAGAGAACAGATAGGTTTAAATAATTCTCTAGTTACTTCTTGATCTTTAGCAAAGCATATTCAAACATTAAAGAAAAAGACAGAGATGAGTCAATAAACCATCTGAAAGAAAATAACCTACACATATATCTGTGATGAATGCTGATGCCAGAAAGAAAAAGCAAATAATCAACACACCGGCTCTTTCTGAGGAGAAGTGCTCTTGAGGGTATATCTAGGTGTCAGCTCACCTTGAGGTCCAATGGCAGCTTGCTGGAGGTGAACACACTGAGCTTGACCTGGGGAATGTTGATCTTGAGATTTTCAAAGTAGTATCGAATTGGTGTTCCACCCTGCTCGACTGCCTTTTCATGGAGGTTTTCATCGTATTTTTCCACCTCTGTACAAAAGCAGAATAAAACAAACAGCCTAAGTCTCATGACTCAAATACTCAGAATCCCACTGAAAAATATTTTAAAAGATGTTGACATCTCTCTCTTCCTGTTTAGTTTTTGAGGAATCAGGTATGTGTGCAGAATCCTGACACCATCTCTGAACAGATCTCTGCTTCATGTTGCTTATCACAAAAGTAGACTAGCTTAATCTCTTCATCTGTGACTCTGCCATATGGCAGATATCTTCTGGAAAAAATAATCCAGTTGGGAAAGCCAAAGGTCAGAGGTGTTTGTTGGTCACAGGCTTTCTAGAACTACTGTTGTTTTGTTATTACCTATAACCCAGATTATCTGAATTTATTTCAAAATATGACATCCAATTAAGGATCTGGAGTGCAGTACAGCTGAACCACAATGAACAGTATCACCAGTTAAATAATGAATCTGAATAAAACATAATGCCTAAAAAAGAAATGAGTTGAGGCCACAAAGAACTGACGTAATTACAAGGAGTACCCTCCCCAAACAGTGGGCAGAATTTTTATTTGCTATCCCATGAAGTAAAAATGAAGAACAGGGAGCCATGTGCTGGTGGCTCACACCTTGTAATCCTAAACTACTTGGGAGGCTGAAATCAGGAGGATTGTGGTTTGAGGCCAGCCCAGGCAAAAAGTTCATGAGGCCCCATCTCAATGTGAAGTGGCATGTGCCTGTTAAACCAGCTCTGCGGGAAGTGGAGATAGGGAAGATGGAAGTTCTGGGCAAGAAAAGGTTGTGAGACCCCCCCATCTCAAACAATATGCTAGGCATGGTGGCGTGTGCCTGTCACCACAGCAACAGTGGTAAGCATAAAATCAGAGGATCATGATCCAGATCAGCCTGGGCAAAACGTGAGATGGCGACCTCAGAAACAACCAGAGGAAAAAGGGCTGCAGGCATGGCTCTAGTGGTAGAATGCCTGCCCAGCAAGAGTGAAGCCCTAAGTTCAAACCCCAGTACTACCAATGACAGGGAGGGAGGAAGAGAGAAAGAAAGGGAGGGAGAGAGGGAGAAAGGAAGGCAGAGAAAGAAAGAGTGCTTCGGAAGCACATACACTAAAATTTTGCATGGCCCCTATGCAAGGATAATACACTTCCCGTTTTCTAATGTTCAGGGCAGAGAAACCGAGGCTTAGAACAAAAAGAAAGGAAGGAAGGAAGAAAAAGGAGGGGCATGAGAAAAACCACAGCAATATGTTCTTTGCACCTGACACTGCACCCATATCCATTGAAGAAGCATGCTTTCTCTTGGCTTCCTGTGCCTTAGAAAGAAAACCAGAAAGACTGCACATGACTTCTGAGCAAGCAAATTTATTGTATGAACTGTTATCAGTTGTGTTTACAGATGAATGGTACTGTAACAGAGGAGAGCTCACTGCTCAGGAAACAGAACAAGTTACTGAAAGCAGAGGAGGTGCTCCAATGAAAGGCAGATAAGGACTTCACAAGTCTAAATCCACTATACAATACTTGAGGAGACATTTGTAAAAGAACTTATAAGAACACTTACAAGGAAAGTATAACCAATCAAACCTAAAGTAAAACTCAGGAAGATACCAAACAAGAAAGGATATCTGGCCAGCAAGCTTCAAGAGGCTGCCTGAGTACAAATGAACAGGAGTCCTAGCCCAAAGAGGAAAACGCAGCATTAAACAGACCAGACTGTCTCTTGATCCCAAATACTATGTTTTCCTCTTCTTTTTTTCCCTTTTTGTGACACTGGGGATTGAATTGCAGTGCTCACACTGCTAAGCACACACTCTATGACTAAGCAACATCCCCAGCCAATCCCAAATACTCTTAAGGCTTAACTCTACCCCTAGGATAAAAAGAGAAATGTTTTCCTTGCATTGTGTGTACATACAGACACACACTCCCAGAAATTTTTTTTTTCCCTCTAACCAACATGGGCAAACAAACGTAAATCTCTTTCTTATCATTTCTTCAGTCTCAGTATTTAGTTTAGGCTTCAAAAGCCTGAGCATTATTGTCTTCTTTGTAAGCTGTGTATATACAGCCCTGAAAAGTCCAACTATACACAGGAAAAAGAGGCCGTGATGAGGAGTCCAAAATAAAGAGACAACAGCAGAACTGTTCCTAGAACTGCTAGAAATTTCAGTTTCCCACAAGTGTATTTCACTCCCCTCTAATGAAGAGTTATCATAAAGTAACTAGAAACCTTTGTGACTACATCAAAGCAGAAGGGTATGGATGTCAAGGTCACAGAACTGAGGATAGCCAAGTTTTTTTCTTCTCAACTAAACCAAACCATTGCTGATTCTTGGCCCTGGGTCTGTTTAATAAGCAAAGGTTAGAAAACAAAGTGGTGTGTTTGTTACTCTAGAGCAGATGAATCAAAAAATGCAAAGCAAAGGCCCCAACGGTCTTCTGCTGGATGCTCCAGCAGCTGCCTAGTTCACGCACCTAACACAGACCACATTTCTGGCTGAAATGTAGAGCTCAGCTTGCTAGTTCAGGCTGCCAAGTAGAAAGGGAGCTGAGCAGGCATCCGGGGCGCTCTATCTACAAAAGGACTCAAGCATACCACTGGGCAGCCCCAGATGCAACATAAAGCACTGGCTTTACCTGGCTCTGCTTGGTTGCAGCCAAGGAAACTTAGCAGCTTGAGCAGCAGCTTCTCCTCAATCTGTACGGTGAATCTTTGCGCTGTGACCAGCAGGTGCTGAAGAGAAACAAAGTCTAGTTCATTGGGTGAACATAGAGGAACTTTCACGTGTGCCGTTAAGAAGGCCCCATGACCCAGGTGTACAGGCACCTGTGGTCCTAGAGACTAGCAAGGCTGAAGCAGGAAGATCACTTCTGCCCAGTTTGGGCAGCATAGCAAGACCCTGTCTCTAGAAAAAAAAAAACATTACACAGATCCTTTACTTGTGTCATTTAATGATAGTGGCAAATTATTTCTGGCTTCTCTCTCCTTACCTTTAACAATTAATCTCTTACAATCAACCAAAAACCCCAGAAGGAGTTCAGTGGACAACTCACTCCCGGGCCCCTGGGGCTGCCAGTCAGGACATGACCTCCACTGTGATGCGGTAGGTGAATTGTATGGTGCTGGTGGGTGGCAGCTAAGGAGCTGCATGACTAGGCATGTGGCTGAGAACTGCAAAGAGGTGGGATCCCACTGGCCCTGGCAACAGAGGACCGGAAAGAACTGTCCCACTTTTGCAGTTTGCTGCTGTCATGGCTGGCTTACACATGGGGACCTCTCCAAGTCAGAGAGTTCATTACTTTTGAACTATCTGCTTTTCATAAACAGCATGGCAGCTTACACAGCAGGATGTCTGTTCCAAAGTCACATTCCTCACAGCCTTTTCCAGTATCTCTGTACTACTCTATTTCTAATAATATATCTGACTAGTCTATAACATGCTATAATTTCCTACCGAGACTTCACTCTGACTGTGGTCTCTGTGGGTTCAGCACTACCAAATGAGCAGTGGCAGTCACTGAATACAATACGCAAAGCACAAAGTGCCAAGAAACAGGAGTCCTTACACATTCCCTGAGCAGTCTATTAAGTTGCATGTGGACAACCCTAGAGAACTATTTCCATGAGTGGCCTGCACTGCTGATGGGAGACTTGGCTGTGAGAGGAAATGGACCTCCTGCATGCTATCCTCCCTGCCTTCCCCCCAGCCCACCTTGTAGATGTTGGTCAGCGCACTCTTGCTGGGGAACTTCACTGCATTCACTTGCACAGCAGGGCCAGTCTCAGTGACCTCATTCTCATTGCTCAGAGGGGTCACGTACAGCATGAAGGGCTGAGTGGTACCAATGAGCTGATTGTCAACCTAGGACATGAAAGGCAGTGTTAAAAAAAAAAAAAAAAGACAAAATCAGATGAGCTGTTTGGTTTTCTTCTGAGTGGTGCTCACAATACAGAAGTTACTCAGCAAGTACCCTGGCCATTCTACTACTCCAGTAGTCATCAGGAACACTCTCACAGAAGACTAGGAACAGTAATAACAGGAGGAAGGCTGGAAGCAATACTTTATTAGGTGAGTACTCTGCTCAGAGAATACATTTGAAATTTACTCACAGCTGGTAACTAGCTCAGCTTTCTCTGCTCCATAATATTTACAGATTTCAAACATAATCTTATACACTATAAATATAATTTCCATGTCTCAATTTTAAAAATTAAAGATTTAGAAATAAAAAATGTAACAAAAAACATCAGGTGAGCACCTGATGTGCTAAGCACTGCACTAGTTGATTGTCTAAGACACATGACCTCATCGGGCAGCATGAGACCATGGCGTTGGAATTACGAGATTCAGGGTTTTGTGGCAAGCCTCAAGCACAATGTCCTCCTTTTGCACAGAGAGAAGCTGAGGAGAGAGGCCCATGCTTACGCTGGCCAATGACAGAATCAAAACTTGAATCCAGGTCAGTCTGACCCCAAGGCTGGCAATCTTAACTACTGTGCTGTGGATGCTTCTCTCTCACTACAAATTCCTTGAAGACAACAAAAATGAGAGCCTACCAAATGATAACCATTCTCTGGTCTTAAGTCAACTAGCTCCCTTCTCAGGATGCAGGCATTAGGATGGCATTAGGAGATACGCTACTCTCTCTGTCCCACAGAGGACTGGGGTGCACCTGGACACTCAAGCTGGCCAGGGGCTTGCTGCAGGAGCAGCCACCTCCTCTTTCTGTTTCTCACCAGAGATCCACCTTGGGAAGAGGAAAGCAAGAGACACCTGTGGAGTACCCCAAGAGACCATTAGTAGGAACTCTGCATACCACCTACCACATCCCTTCTACCACCTCAAAGGGGGTATCAAGCCTCCCATTTTACTCTCGAGTAAACAGAAGCTTAGAGAGGCAATCCAGTTGACTTGCTAGCTCACATTCTCACAGAGCTGGGATTCAAACACTGATTCTTTAGCACCAAATCCTTTGTCTGTTTTGTTATGCCTCGTGGGATTCCACACAGCAGTGTTAGAGGAGTTGGTGCTGACTTTCCTTCCATTGGCTGTGAGTGCTGGGATAAGGACAAGAGACTTTTTCCTACCTCCATTCTTTCCCCTACAGTGATTTTTTTAAAAACATAAATCAAGGCCTGGAGGAGTGGCTCAAGTGGTAAAGTGCCTGACTAGCAAGCATGAGGCCCTGAGTTTAAACCCCAGTACCACCAAAAAAAAAAAAAAAAAAGGTGTGTGTGTGTAAATCAAGTCATATTTGCTTTATTTCCCTGGAATGATTTTCTAGTATCCTCCTCTATGGTTTGCTCATTCTCTTCCTGAGTTTCAACTCAGCCCACACTTCCTCAAGAAGACCTTCCCAGCAATTTCTCTAAAGCAGCACCATCCCCATTCTTTCTTCATAGCAGTTACATAGGATGCCATCATTTATTTGCTTGCTTATGTACTGGGTGACATCCTCTCTAGGCTGTTAGCACCAGGAAGCAGAGACAACTTATTTTTAGTCATAGCTATGTCTCTAGAGCCTAGCACAGTATCTGACACACAGCTGGTGCAAAGTAAGAACTTACTGACTAATGAATCACTACTTATCTCATCCAATACATGAAATGACAATAATGATCTCACTCTTCTGCCCTCTCCTTTGTCCCTTCCCTAGGCACATTTGACACAGGTTGAGCATCCCTAATCTGAAATTCAAAATGCTCTAAAACCCAAAACTTTGGAGGGGAAAATTATATATCCTGCAACTTTGTTTAATGCACAAAATTATTAAATATTATATAAAATTAAATTATTTTCAGACCATATGTATAAAGTGTATAAGAAACATAAATGGATTTCATGTTTAGACTTGGTGCCCATCTCTAAGACTATGTCATGATTATATGCAAATATTCCAATATCCAAAAAACTCTAAAATCTGGTACATTTCTGATCTCAAGTATTTTGGACAAAAGCTTTTCAACCTACACAAGGTGTACTGAGAATTACGAATTCTAGGGATTTTTTGGTACTGGGGTTTGAACTCATGGCCTCATGCTTGCTACCACTTGAACCCTGCTCCCAGCTCACTAATTCTAGTTTTATTCTCCAAATTAGACTTAATGCTCCAAATATGCTGCCCCAAACATACAACAGGTCTATATTTTCTATTTTAAAAATTCTTTCTCACAGCCCTGTCGCCAAAGCAAGCTATGAAATCTGCTTATTTTGTGTGATTTGTCAACTACATCAAATCAAGAGGTGTTATAGTTAAAGGTTATTCGTTTTGTTTTAATTAAAGCACAAAGTTAGCTAGGCACAGTGGTACATGCCTGTAATCCCTACACTGGGAAGGCTGAGACAAGGAGATCACCAGTTTGAGGCCAACCTGGACTAAATAGCAAATTCAAGGCTAATTGAGTTATACAGCAAGACTCTGTCTATAAATAAATAAAGTTGAAGAACTATAAAGAACTAGCAAACAGAACTTCTCTGTAAATTCAGAAAAGTAGGACAAAGAAAAATAATTCCAAGGTACTAACCTCCTATTTGTCCTCAAACAATGGGTTGTGATTAGCACGAACTCTTAACTATTTGTGATGCATGATAAAAGAAGAAAGTCTTCAGCAAAGAGATCATGGCACTGATAATCTGAATGGGACTGTACAGCCAGGTCAGGGAGAATAAGCCTGGCACACACTGTACTCCCAGCAGGAACAGTGCTGCCGTTGAGGGAGCAGTCACAGGCCAGCCTGCAGATCTTTTGGAAATGCTTAGGAGGAACTAGTGTCCTGGATGAGTTTCACTTTCAGTGGAGATTAGAAAGAAGAAGGGTTTCCTGTATGATGTTACAAATTCTGATGGCATGCTAACAGAAATCCACCAAAAATTGCTCAAACCAACTTTTTCAGAACTCTAAAAATTTATCCAAGGCTTACAGAAATCCTAGCCTCCCACTTCCCACCTATTTTTTAAAGAATATAAGTTGAAACTTGGTAAGAACAGCAAGTTCTGTTCTTTTAACTGTCCTATTCCTATTTCCCTCCCAGCTCCACAGTGGCCTTGAAAGCCAACAGTCCCCAGGCACCAGAAGGGTTTGCAGCTCCCCCAGAAACCTCATCCCCAGAACACTGGCATTATTTGGCCTGTTTGGCACCTCTCTCTTTCCTGACAGTGATAATTTTTCATCTTCTTGTTTTTCCAGATTAGTTTGATAAAAGCAGATTAATTTTATTAAATTTCAGAAAGAACTAATTTTTGACTTCATTGATTTCTCTACTGTGACCACAGATTATTAGCTCATTGATTTGTACTGTTACCTTTATTATTTATTTCTGTTTGAGTTTAATCTGTTCTTTTTTCAATTTCTTAAGATGATAGCTAATTGTTTTAAGACCTTTCTCCTTTTCTAATAGAGTATTTATTTTGTGCTATAAAATTCCCTTCAGAATGGTGCTAGTGTCATTCCACAAATTCTGAGGTGTTGTGTTTTCAATCAGTTCAAAGTACTTTCTAACTTCTGTTTTGATTCCTTCCTTGATCTACGGGCTATTTAGGAGCATATTAGTTTCCAAATATTTGGGGGATTTTCCCATTTATCCTTCTGTTCTCTAAACTCTAATTCCACTGTAGCCAGAAAACATACTGTGTGCAACTTGAATCTTTTTGGATTTCTTGAACACTGTTTTACAGTACAGACTGTGGCCTATTCCATCTAGTTGGTTGACAATGCTGTTCAAGCCTGTTATCAAGCAGGTTTTTGATGATTTTCTGATTATTCTATTATTAAAAAGTAGTATTAAATCTCTGATTATGTCTGCGCATTTGTCCTATTCTTTTTTCAGTTTTTCCTTCGTGTATTTTTGAAGCTCCGCAGTTTGGTAATTCAATGTTTAAATTTGTTATGTCTTCTTGATTAATCAACATTTTTTTTTTCATTACAAAATTACCTTCTTTATCTCTGGTGCTATTCTTTGCTTTGAAATCTATTCTGATGTTAATTAGTGACACTCCCACCACTTCCTTATGACTAGTATTAGCATGATATATTTTTCCCATCTTTTTTCTTTTTAACCTATTTGTACCTTTATAATTAATGCCTGCCTGTCTGCCAGCCAGCCTTCCTTCCTTCCTCCCTCCCTCCCTCCCTCCCTTCCTCTTCTCTCTCTCTCTTTTTTACAATAGGGTCTTGCTATGTAGCCCAGACTGGCCTCAAACTCATGATCCTCCTACTTCAGTCTTCAGGAGTGCTGGGATTAAATACATGTACCACCACTCCCAACTAATGTGGGTTTCTTATAGATAGAATATAATTGGATCTTAATTTTTTATACACTCTAACTATCTCTACCTTTTGACTGGGGTGTTTATTGCATTTATACTTAATTAGCAGACAGTTAAGTTTGACTCTACCATCTTGTTACTTGTTTTCTATTTGTCCCATCTATTCTTTCCCACATTTTCTACCTTCTCTTGGATTAACTGGGTACTTTTCATTCCATTTTATCTCCTTTATTGGAAAATTATTTCTCTTTGTTTTATTATTTGGTGGCTGTTTTAGGGTTTATAGTATTGGTCTTTACCAGTCTACACTTAAATGATATACTACATCATGTATAAGAAAATTACAGTAATATGCTTCTATTTCACCCCTTTAGCCTTTTGCTATTACGCATTTTACTCTTCCATATGTCACAGACTTCAAAATATAGCATTACTACTTTTGCCTAAACAATCATTATCTCAAGAGTTTAAATAGGAAGAAAATAATTGTAAATATTTACTCATGTAGTTATCACGTCAGGTGTTTTCCCTAATTTGTGTAGATCTGAATTTCCATCTATCATTTTATCAGTTCAACAATGTCTTTTGTCATTTTGGGGGAGGATGCAGGTTTGCAGATAATGAATTGTTTTAGTATTTCTATGCCTAAAAACATCTTCACTCTTGTTTTTGAAAGATATTTTTGCTGGGCATAGAATTCTAGAATGACAGGGTTTTTTTCCCTTCCCCTTAACTACTTTAAAGATGTTTAAAGAATGTGTTGACATTCTTATCTTTGTTCCTTTGTAGGTAACATGTCTTTTTTTCCTGGAGCTGCTTCATCATTGGTTTTGAGTAATTTGAGTATGATGTACCTACACCAAAACCTGCATCCTTCAGTAGTGACAGGGGATTGATTTCAGGACTATCTTCAGATACCAAAATTGACCAATAGCCCTTTCTCTTAGATAAAATGGTGAAATATTTGTAAATAACATACATAAAACCTCCCATATACTTTAAAATCATCTCTAGATTATTTATAGCACCTTGTACAATGTAAATGCTGTGTGAATAGTTGTTATACTGTATTGTTTAGGGAATAATGACAAGAAAATGTATGTACATATTCAGTACAAACTCAATTTTTCACAAGTGTTTTTGATCTGAGGCTGTTTGGCCTCTCAGATGTGGAGGCCAACTGCAGTTTCCACCCAGGTTGTATGTTACATTCCATCCACTGCAGTTTCTATTTCATTCTCATCTCTAGAAATTTGAGTTTTGATGTAGTCCAGGTCTTTTTGAATACACAGAATAACAGTTCTATTTTAGTATTTTCTGAGACTTTTAACATCTGCATTCGTTCTGGGTCAGTTTGATGGCTTATTCTCTTGGTTTCACAGTATTCTTTCCCACCCATTTATATACCTGGCAATTTCTGACAGGGTGTTAGCCTGTGAAGTTTGCCTTGTTGGGTGCTGGATATCTTCATATTCCAATAAAGTCTTCTTGAGCTTTGTTCAGGGATACAGTTAACTTAGTCGGAATCAGGTTGATTCTTTTCAATCTTCCTTTTCTGATTTGCTAGGCAGGCTCAGAGTAGTGCTCAGTCTAGGGCTAATTAACCATAGGGGCAAGGGTTGCCTGAGATTCTTCTCAACGTCCCCTTGCACTCTTAGATTTCCAGTCTGGCTGTGGTGGCAGGCATTGTTTCCTTTGATCCTTTTAGAAAACTAGTTTCCTCACACTGGTTGGTATTCAGCTGAATACTCGAGGGGACCCTGCATGGATCTCCAGGGTTTTCTTTCTGTGCAGCTGTCTCCTCACAGGTATACTGCCCTATCAACATAGCTGTATTGGTCTCTATGGACTTTCTGCCCTGATTTTTCAGTTTATCCACTCTGCAGGGTTCTGTCACAGTTTCTTCTCCCATAGCCTGGAACGTTCTCAAGGCAGTAAGCTAGGTCAACTACAGGGATCACCTCTTTTGTTTCCCACCTTTCAGGTGTCACTGTCCTTTGTTGTCTGCTGCCTAGTGTCCTAAAGCTGTTGTCTCCTTATTTTGTATGGATTTTGGGGTTATTTCAGGTGGGAGAGATCCAGTCCCTACTGTTTCATTTTGACTGGAAGAGGAAGTCCAGTTCCCCTGTTGTTTCTCCCTGTGATGAATCTTAACTCCTCCAAGTGATGGTTACATGACCTTTTGTTCTTTTTTCTATTGGTAAGATGGAAAACTATAGGTCACCTTCTTTCATGACACCTTGATTGACTTATCTAATTTTTTTTATGCACTGCTACTATATTTGGAATTGTTCTGTACAGAAAAGGTAATGAGACAAATTTGGGTGGAAACAACTATTTCATGGGATGATTTTTTTGAAGGTCACAACAAGATGTTTCCTCCCAAGTTGTAAAGTCTTTAGAACACCAAACATTAAAGCTGGTTGGACACTCTGGAAAAAAATTTGGAGGCTACTTAAAAAGCTGGACATCAATCTACCATTTGATCCAGCAATACCACTCTTGGGGATATACCCAAAAGACTGTGACACAGGTTACTCCAGAGGCACCTGCACACCCATGTTTATTGCGGCACTATTCACAATAGCCAAGTTATGGAAACAGCCAAGATGCCCCAGCACTGACGAATGGATTAAGAAAATGTGGTATCTATACACAATGGAATTTTATGCAGCCATGAAGAAGAACGAAATGTTATCATTCGCTGGTAAATGGATGGAATTGGAGAACATCATTCTGAGTGAGGTTAGCCTGGCCCAAAACACCAAAAATCGTATGTTCTCTCTCATATGTGGACATTAGATCAAGGGCAAACACAACAAGGGGATTGGACTATGAGCACATGATAAAAGCGAGAGCACACAAGGGAGGGGTGAGGATAGGTAAGACACCTAAAAAACTAGCTAGCATTTGTTGCCCTTAACGCAGAGAAGCTAAAGCAGATACCTTAAAGCAACTGAGGCCAATAGGAAAAGGGGAACAGGTACTAGAGAAAAGGTTAGATCAAAAAGAATTAACCTAGAAGGTAACACCCACGCACAGGAAATCAATGTGAGTCAATGCCCTGTATAGCTATCCTTATCTCAACCAGCAAAAACCCTTGTTCCTTCCTATTATTGCTTATACTCTCTCTACAACAAAATTAGAAATAAGGGCAAAATAGTTTCTGCTGGGTATTGAGGGGGGGGGAGAGGGAGGGGGCGGAGTGCGTAGTAAGGGAGGGGGTGGGGGCAGGGGGGGAGAAATGAACCAAGCCTTGTATGCACATATGAATAATAAAAGAAAAATGAAAAAAAAAAATAAAGCTGGTTGGATATTCATCATGAAAACAAGGTTAACAATTCTGGAACTTCCCTCCTTACCTGCACATCTTGAATGCTGAGTTCAAGCATGTGACTGCTTGCCAACTGGGTATAGTGGACATTGATTCCTGAAAGACTTGCAAAGATCAGTTCTTCTGGGACTTTATTAATTAAGGACACACCAATTCCACCTTCTAACCTCACAAGTACCTGAAAGGAATCCAAACACAGCCCAGTGATTATTTAAAACAAAGCTCATGGTACCCAAGGGAGATAAGGAAGCAAGTGGCTTCAAATCCCTTCATTCTTTACTCTGAGCAATGAAAACTACTCAAGGAAAACAGTCCTGTTATTCACCTTTTTGGCACACATGCCCTCATCTCACTAGCTGCCTCCCTGCTTACGTGTACTCCCACTCAGGCCAGAGCACAGAGGGATGTGACAGCACCTGGCCAGAGCCCTGAGGACTCTGCAGTACAGGAGTGCAATTGTGTCAGAATCATCCTTCGGTTTGGGAGGAAGCAAGCTCTTAACCAGTTATTCAATGCACCTCCATAACATCTGACATGGCACTTTACACATGGGCATTTCATTTTTTAAAACATCATTCAATGAGTATAAGTGTGCTTCTCTGTATTCATCGCATCTTCCTTTTCAAACTTTCCTTTCTCTTCCCAATGACCAAAGAGAGGGAGAAAAAGATGTCAAAGTCAACTGGAGGAAAAAAAAAAGAGTTTTCTTATTCATTATCTTAAATCTTATTTAAATTTCAATAGTTTAGCTTCCTTTTTTGTTATCTTACTTTAGTAACGTTTGTTACATTCTGATTCCCATAAACTTTAGCTATCATTTACATAACATTCACACATCCCTAATGTGACAGTAAACACAGTGAAGCAAAACCATATTTAGATTTCATGCAGGGCAGAAAGAAAATAGAAAACCACAGAGAAAAATTCTCAACAAATCGATGATACAAGAAAGTAAGTTTACAGCATGTAAAGCTTACTTCCAATTCTAGTTCTGTGTCTGGACTCCTTAGTTTCTGCAGCTCTTGGTCAGTCACAGGAAATTCATCCACTTCATATGATGAGTGGTCACTTTTCCGCAGGCAGAAATCTGTTATCTGAAGTCAAATAAAATACCATATAAAGAGGGTTCACACCTCCATAGGGAAATCCACTCTAACCCATGTCAACCGTTTAGGTCTTAAGTCACTTTATACCCAAAAATCCTATGGATTTTAGTGGTTTCCAGGCACTACTAGGCTTTGTGTAACAATGAAGCATATATGGTTCTGAGTCTACACAGCAAACTCTCAAGCTGAATACCTTAACAGGTTTGCATAATTGCAGTTGACACCTGCAGGTGATCTGGAATTACAACTCAAGTCAAAATGAGCAAACCTCAAGAGCACAGCCTTCATTTTTGCCTTGAGCAACTGCTTTGTAAAGCTGTATTGTAGATTAGGGTGAGGACTATGATGTATCACCTCTGAGAGCATGACCAGTAAGTCCACACCTCCAACACAGTGTCTTCCTTGAGCCTTAGGCCCATATTTACAATGACTTTTGGACATCTTCACATAGGTATCACGTAATGACCTTAACTCAGCAACTCCCAAACTTTCCTCCTCATTTCCCCACAAGGCTACTCTGCATTTGTTGCCTAGGGATCTGGATTGTCATCCTCTTTACTGCCCAAAGTGGAACTGTGGAGGCTATCCTTGACTCCTTCCTCTCTCTCATCCCTACACTTGGTCAACCACTAAGTCTGACTGACTCTACTCCTAAATTAGCTTTATTTTCATTTGTTTCCCTCTGTTGCCCTCATGCCCATCTCAGTTGTCTGTTTATTTCAGTTCAGGCCACCTTCATCTCTCATTCACATTTCTGCCAGAGCCTCCTAACCGTGCTTTCTCTACTCCAACTTACCACACTGCAGCCAGAGTGAGTTATCTAAAACAAATTCTGATCATGCCAATCCATGACTCCTGCAAGCCTTAGAAACACCACACCATCTTTGGTGCACATTCCAGACTTTGATGGCTAGCCCCTGCTCTACCTGCAGCCTCATTTCTCACTGCAGTCTACATAGCAGTTGGGCAGAGGCCAGCCTCTGACCTGTGAGTCTTCACTAATCAGTTTCCCAATACCATGTAACTTACTTATGACATTTATCTCTCATTGATTACCTACCCTCTAGAATGTAAACTGTATGAAGTCAGGTAATTTTGTCTGTTTGCTCACTTAGAACTGTGCCTGCCATATCAATAACTGCAGGATGAACGTGCTCCTCCCTGAAGACAGTGCCCCCACCTTTCCTTCTCTGTGTGCAAAGCACCAATTTGTTTGTTTTTTTATCTGTGGACTGGGGTTTGAACTCAGAGCTTTGCACTTGCAAAGCAGGTGCTCTGCCCCTTGAGCCACACCTCCAGTCCTCCTTCTCTGGCTAACTCCTTCCTGCTGACCTCCAGTGTTCAGCTTAAGCATTACTTCTCCTAGGAAGGTTTCTAACCTCCAAATCCAGATCCAAATCCTTTCTACACAACCTCTGTTCTACCCTCAAAACACAACATTTTAATTGTCTGATTAGGGACTTCATATCTTCTTATTGTTAATGTCATTAATATATCAATCACTTAAATATTAGCAGACTGACTAATAACGGCAATAATACTATGCAGTGCTCTTAGCCTTGGCTTTAATTCTTATACTTTTTAAAATTAGAGTATACTTACATTTTGATTATACTTTATACTTGCATTTACTTACACTGCACTTCTCAAAGCAACTTTATGATATAGATCTATCTCTATTTTACAGGTGAAGACACCGTAACCTCAAATGCAGCTTGAGTGTGTTCAGCAATTACTGCTGAATGACTTATTACAAGGGAGGGGAGGACAGGAGTTTCATGCCAGCTCTTATGATAAGTTATCACCTGGAGTGCTCTGGTTGGTCCATCTGGGATGACTCTGATGGATAATACTCCAGAACCAGGCCTCATTTTCTGATTAATAAATTGTTGCTCAGGTGGAACTGGTCCCAAAAGTTCCACAGATGTGTCAGGACCAAGGACTACTTCAGCTCCATCAAACAATCCAGAAAGTCCTCCTTTGGCCTAAAGACATTGGAGTAAAAATGTATAAGAAAAGACAAAGGCACTGACTTTGACAATTTAACCTGATATTTGAAAACAATTATTGAATTTAAATTCTCTTTTGGAGAAGCATGACCTATGTATAGCAAAGCATTTATTATTCATTCAACTTTGCAGACAAAGAGTGAGGGTCATGTGAGCAAGATGGTAAGGGACACTGCGTGGGCTTGGGGGTTACATGCACATGTTCAGTGAAAGATAAGTCCAGTTTATCGATTTTACTCTGCCTTGTAATAAATTCTAACCTTTAAAAAAAGTAGCCAAAGTTAGCCTCATTTGGGTATTCTCATTAGTTTATCTAAGAAGCCGAAATAGTCTGAAAATAAGACAACTATTATATCATTCAGCTTTCTAATAAGAAGAAAATTCTAGAGTTAAGAAATTCCACAGGCAGACAGCACGGCTCGCACCTATAATTCTAGCTACTCAGGAGGCCGACATGAGAAGGGCTGTAGTTTGAGGCCTACTGGGACATAAAGTTAGTAAGAGCTCATCTCAACAAATAAACAGGGCATAAGGTGGACGTGTCTGTAATTCCAGCCAGGAAGGAAGCGTAAGTAGGAGGATCGTGGTCCCAGGCTTGCCTGCGCAAAAGTCAAGACCCTATCTGAAAACACTTAAACAAAAAGGGCCAGAGGTGTGGCTCAAATAGTAGAGCATCTGCCTAGCTAGTGTGAGGCTCTGAGTTCAAACCCCATTACTGCCAAAGAAAAGTTAACTCCCAAACAGGTCTATGGCTGGACGTCAGCTCAAATAGTCAAAAGCTGGTCCCTCTTCTAAAATGCAGCACAGTTCTGAGAATGTCACTAGATGCCCAGTTTTGCAGACTTTTTGGAAAAAAGCTACTTTCTTATTGTATGCCCCACATGGAAAGTAGTACTAGAAGACTAGGCCTGTGGGAGAGTGATGTGGCTAGAGAGGCAGGTACCACGAGAGGCTGAATCCCTTCTGTTGATGTTCCGACACTGACCAATGAGCTGGTGTAGAGGGATAGATTTCAATACAGAGCAACGGTTTATGGCCCAGTAACTTTAGAAATATATATACAACCTAATAACGGCAGTGTTGGAAAAATGTTTTAATGTCTTCAATTACTTTATTCAGCAGAATGAGACTGAAACAAGCTGATTTCCCTAACCTAAACACATTCTGCCTTGCTGAGTACTGTTATTATGGGGCCACTCACAAGCACAGAAATGATGCGACTTACTCCGGAACCAACAAACATCAGAAAGGGATGTGAGGGAGAATGCCCAAGAGAATCAGCATTACATGGGCCAGAAAAAACTAGAAGAAAAGTCAGGGTGAGACCCAGAACCCACTATTAGAAAAGCCTTCTTGGCTTTTAGATGTCTGAATTGCATTGCTAATTGAAAATCACAAACACATTCCAGATGTGTGCTTCATATAAGTAAGCAGCTTGCCTTTGATGAAAAAGGCCCAGGGCAATAGAGATAAAGAAAATAAATGTCACACACAGCAGGAAGAGACTCCTTACAGTTATGCCCACTGCCTTGGACTGCAATCTCCCTGTATGAAAGGACAGCCTGGCTCTACCAGGGACAAGCATACTAAGAGCTCTCTTTCTTGACAAAGCCCAGGCTGAGGCAGAACTGCACACAGTTCCTGTGTGCTCAAGCCTCTGTGCCACCTTCTGCCTGCTCATCTCAGACCCATGGGCCCACTCCAGCCTGAAGCCTAAAGGGCAGAAAATCCAAACTCTTGGTAATTTTCCAAACACATACTTCTTATAAAGTATCTTAGAGTTTATTATAGAATAGATGGGCTGAGTTGAAGACAGAGGAAATTGTCTAACAATCTTGATTGAGACATTTGCAGTTAACAATTAAATGTTTATTTAGATCTTGCTAAAAATGCAGAAATAAAGGGAATCACCAGTTCCTACAACACTTTACAAAAGACTGCTGTAGTGGTGACATGAGTATAAAATTAACCCATGGGTCTAACATTGAAGTGTTGGGCTTTTAGTTGATACTTTTATTTCCTTCTTTTAAAAAGTACCTCGGTAATCTATGTCATCAGAAAAAAAAAAAAAAATCCAAACAAACTAAGAAATAAAAGTCCCACTGCTGAAGGCAACCACGCTTAACACATTTGTTGTCTATTTCTTTCAAGAATATATCTCACATAGGTAACACACAGATGCACAAAAACCTTCATGACTTCCCTTTAACAAAAAAAAAAAATGGAATAACAGAATAATGGAGAGGTATTGCTCTATAATTTATGTTTCCCATTTAACAATTTATCATGGGCAACTTAGTTGAGACTTTGTTTCAAAGAAGGCTCAAGCCCTGCCAACTCAAACTGAGGATGTGAAAAGCGCCTGACCTGGACAACCAGCCCATGCAAGCCACAGGTCAGTTTTCCTTCTCGGAAACTCCACGTCTGGGTTGTGCTTCGCCTGCGGTCAGGCTTTCGTAGCATCAGCGGCTCGTATCTGGACAAGGAAATGTAACAAGACCTCTGGGTCAATGTCTTCAGGCCTGAAGAGAATGTGTGGGTCAGACAGACCATGCTCTTCCTCCTCCCTGCAGTCTCCGCCTTAAAATCTCATGTGCAAATTAGCTTCACCTACATGGCAGTTAGGCAATCTCTCAGGGAGGAAAGAGGAATAAAACAGAATGCAAGACGCAGAACACAGGTTCCACATCTCACAAGGATGAGTTATCATGCACTATGCAGGGAAAAACTGCTAAAAATATTTAAAATCTTCTCAAGTCTTTTTTGTTTAATTTCTAAATACTTTTATTTTATGTTTTAACTTACAAGTCTTTTTGGAAGTAAATAAGGAATCAAATGAAAATAAATATATTGATTTTACGGAGAAACTAAGGCCCAGACACACAGAATAACTCATTCAAACTTAATAAGCTGATTTAAATCCAAGGAGCTACTCATAAGAACACATCCGACTAGCCTCTTAGTAATTTAATTTCTGCTCACTTTTAGGGAGTAAGGATAGACTAGAAGTTTGGGTGAAAGAAATACTTACTTTACATAACATATTTTTATTATTTGACATTTCTTAACATCTGTATGGGTATTGTCATAATAACTTCAAAATATTAAATGAAAAGTCCAGCACTCATGTTTGGGAATTTGACAGACTTCTGTCATTGAAGAAAAAACCACAAATATAAAAATACAAATTCTTACTTACCAACATGAAAACAAACAATGAAGGACACAAATGTAAAACAGGTCGTGTTAAGGGCAGAAGGGAGGATGGGGGCGGGGGGAGGGGGGTGACTATGGTTGACGCATTTTCTCCACACGTATGAATATGGAATAATGAAATGTATTGAAGCCGTTTTAAGAGGGGAAGGGAGAATAATGGAGGAGATGAACAAACCGGGATACACTGTACACATCTATGGAAATGTCATAGTGAAATTGCCTGTACAACTATTAGATACTAAGAAAAACATTTAAAAATAAGTAAGATAGATAAAAAGGAATATAAAAATACAAATTTTTATGAGGTTTACAGAACTCATGTTTACGACTCCTCTGAACTTGAGGCAATGAGCTTGACTGGATGGTTACTAGAGATTACCTGTTGTCAGTTACTGCAGCAAGCCCAGCAATATCCAGGATGGCAGAGCCCTCAGTGGGGCGTGTGGCTGAGGGCTTGCTGGGGTTGTGAGGAACTGCAGAGCCCTCGTGGGCCAGCATTCCTGTGCCCGTTATCCTCCAGAGCTGGGATCGCTTCCCTGGTTCCTGGGGAGCAGACAATGCAAGATGGACAGAGACATGATGCATGGCCACAGCTAGCTTTTCTCCTTAGAGCTGTCTCTGAGGGCTGGATGAGTGCTCAAGTAGAACTGTACTTAGGTATTTTTCCACATCATATAAATGCTCAATTAAAGCTTTCATTATTGTCAACTTCTAGTTGCACTTAGAATGAAATACTCTAAACACTTGAACCAAACAATGAAAAAATTACAAACAATGTAAATTTTAAAAAATGTATTCTTTTCACATATCTAGTATTTTTTCCTTATCAAACATCAGAAACAAATAGCTGTGCAATTTCCTACCCTAGCTATCCTGCCATAATCACCGCTGCTCTAGATGGTGATTATGTGCCCTTACCTTAAAGAGGGATCCAGTTCTATAAAGAATGTATGACGTTGAATATCTGATCGTTAGTGAGCCTGTAACGTGCAAACAATGAGAACTTGCTGGCAGTCCTCTACTCCTCCCCAGTGTTTATGAGGGAACTGTAATGAACCCGCCTTATTCAGATTTATTGCCCAGTTTTGAGCATAGTCAAAGAATAATAAATTATCAAAAATCAAGGAAATTTCAAAAACAACAAATTTAAATTCCACGTGCACATTATGCAGCTCATTTGTTGAGGAGAAGCTCTCAGTGAGTCCCATATTTCCATCAGTTCTGTTTAAATCATATTTCCTTGCCCTTAATTTTGTGAAAATGCAGTATGCCTCCCTAAAAGCAAATGGTGCCCAAAAAGCAAGGTAAGAGTTATAGTAACCCTCCCAAGCCAAAAGGACATGTAATGTGCTTCATTCAAGTGATTAAGTGAAAATTTTAGATGTGTTGAAAGGTACATATCTTTAGCAGAAGTTGGGTGAAGTTATGGTGAAAATGAATCCAGTATCCACAGTACTGTACTAAGCTCTACACATTGTGGTTTCACCTCAATGCTTCTGCAGTCTCTGTGGAACCATATACCAGAGATATCAAGTGTCTACATACACCATACTGTTTCTAATTTTTACAAATTGATTATATTCAAATGTTAAGTTGGTTATATTCAAAGGTTACAGTAACTTGATTGTTGTTAATTCTTTCTTATTTTTATTTATTTATATTTTTTAGTGGGTCTGGGGGTTAAACTCAGAACTTCACACTTGCAAAGGAGCATTCTACTACGTGAGCCACACCTTCAGTCCATTTTGCTCTGGTTATTTTGGAGATGGGAGTCTCTGGAGAACTATTGCCCTGGGCTGGCCTCTAACTACCACCCTCCTGATCTCAGCTTCTTAAGTACCTAGGATTACAGGCATCAGCCACCAGTGCCTGGCTTTGCTGTTAATTCTTAGTAAATGTTCTTCTTAGAAATATTTGGAAACAGCACTTGGGCTTCCAGGTCAATCATGAAAGTCTACACAAATCATTACATACTCTAAGTAAAAATACCTATTGAGAACTCACTACAGGCCAGGTTTTGGCGATTACTCATTTAACCCTATGCATATTATCTCATATGAGCCTTCTAAAACACCTGGGCAGCCAGTAGGAAAATGAAGCTCAGCAAGTAACAGGAAATACCATCTATCTTTAAGTGGCTAAGCCACAAGTGGAAGCTAGAAAGCTGCTCTCCTCTTTCTCTTGGGTGCTGCTGACTCTTGTGTCTACAAGTAGTTGAAAAAGGGCTACACTCCCCATCTGTCATCCTCAGATACCTGCTTCTCACCTACCCCACACAGGAAAGCATTCCAGTGTCCAGCAGATTGAGAATCATAGCACAGATGCTCAGGTGAGATAAATTTCCATACAGGAATTTCTACTGATGCCCTACCTGCAGTGCATCCTCAGCTGGAAACCACCATCTCCATTTAAAAACCTGAGAGGAGTTAGGGGCATCACAACTTGAGGCCAGCCTGGACAAAAAAAGTTAGTGAGACCTTATCTCAAAAAACAAGTCAGGCAAGGTGGGGCATGCCTGGAATCCCAGGTACATGGATGGAGTAGGTAGAAGGATCAAGGGCCAAGGGCCAGCCCCAGGTAAAAGCAAGACCCTGTCTGAAAAAATAAACCAAAGCAAAAAGGGCTGCAGATGCGGCTCAAGTGGTAGAGTGCCTGCCTAGCAAGTGCAAGGCCCTGAATTCAATCCCCAGTACCACCCAAAAAAACAAAACAAAAAACCTTGAAAGATACCATTCTCCTTCTAGCTCCATTTCCCTGTCCCCTCACAATCTGGTCCCAAAACCTCTAGATGGAGCCAAGGAAAAGAGGAATCCACAGGACTGTGTGTATGCTAGGGTGGGGAGTTGTAGTGGCCCTGATGGCTAGAAAACATGTCAAGAGCTGCATAAGTGCAAAAGCAAACCAACTGTCAACAAGCGAGGCCGCAGCCTCGTGGATGTCACTTCAGAGTGAACAGACATCCTCCATCAGATTGAATTGTATGACTTAAGTTATATGCAGCATCAGGAATGCATCCCACAGTCGATGTGCTTCAAGTGATTACCCATCTCCCGCCCCCAAAAGTGGCCTCTGCACCACTGGGCTCCCAAACTGTCATCTTCCAGTTTCAAACTCTTATGACCAGTCTTCCTATCATTTTTAATACTTCTGACCAAATTTTACTGCCTTTCTCTCCAAATCTAGGTCCAGGAACTGAAACATTTCCCCAAGCTTACTAGAAAAGAGGTCAAACTCCAGTGTCTTTCTTCTCTGTGCGGGGCTACTAGTACACCACTGCGGTGTTTCATTGACTCAGTTTAAGGAGATTAGGGAAGCATTATTACCAGAAGAATAAAGTAATGAAAACACAAATCACAAATTCAAACATTAGCTTCTCAAAAGAGGACCTTGAGGATGAGGCTTGGAATTTTGGCACCAAGTTTCAGGACACAGCAAAGAACATGAAGTTCCAAACCTTTAAGCAGGACTCAACCCAAACTCCCATTTCCTCAACTGTCAAAGACTCTAGATGGCTCTAAGCTCCCTTCCAGTGGCACAATCCTTTATTCTAAATACCAGTGCCTTCGCTCTCTCACCTTCTTCTTTAGGATGACACGCTGTGTCTTTGGTGAGACGTCCAAGACAAGCTCTGCGCAGGTGATGGCCTTATTGGAAGCCACAGGCCGTCCAGTCCCCTCCTGCAAACTAAGGTCAAATAAGTGAGTACACATGTGCACATGCATTCACGCATGCAGCAAAGTTTTTGTAATCAAGTGCATAAAATCTTTATTAAAGAATAAAATGTTTGGAGCACCTATAATCTCAACACTTGGAAGGCTAAGGCAGGAAGAATGTGAATTTGAGACCAGCCTGAGCTATATATATATAAATATTTAAAAAAGTAAACTTTTTTAAAAAAGAGGAGGAGAAGGAGGAAGAAAACTTTTTAAAATATAAAAGTCTGACTTGAGAGGTAAAAAGTTTGGGGTTGTACATTTTTCCTGTACAATTCACAGATTTCACTTATTTGTAAAAAATATACTCTTGCATTTTCCCTTCTCCTGATAATTTTAGTGGCTTAAAATTCAGTTATACAAGGATGACCATATATTTAGAGGCCCCCAAAAGGCAAAACCTAAAGCATCCCACATGACCAACAACCAGCTCTATTCTGCCAGTGAGAGCATCGCTGTACCCCAAATCTTAGCAGGAAATCAGAAGTCCTTTTAGGATGAAAAGAAAGCAAAGAGTTAATAAGCCCCTTCCTCCAATTAAATCCTGTTGGCTTAAAAACCCTAAACTTTATGGGATGTTGCAGACTAGCTACACTTGGAGCATTTGAGGCTTCGATTTTTCACCTATTTCTGTTAATCTGTTTTATCACAAAAGGTATTAATAAAATCAGAGTTAAAAATTAAGTCTCATGACAACACATGCATAAGTGACAAAAAGAAAACAAAATTACATAAATTAGACTTCATCAAAATAAAGGACTCTGTCTTTTATTTTTCTGTCATCAGAAAGTAAAAAACTCACAGAATAGGAGAACTATTTTCAAATCATACATCTGATAAGGGACAGATATTAGATTATATAAAGAACCCTTACGATTCAGTAATAAAAACACAAATACTTCAGTTTTAAGATGAGTAGAGGATTTGAACAGACATTTCTCCACAGAACATATACAATGGCCATTATTGTTGCACATGAAAAAATGTGCAACATCACTGGTTATTAAGAAAAACAGCCAGGTGCAGGTGGCACATGCCTGTAATCCTGGCTACTCAGGAGGCAGAAATTAGGAGGATTGCAATTCAAAGCCAGCTCCAGCAAACAGTTCACAAGACCCTATCACAAAAACACCCAATACAAAAAGGAGTGGTGGAGCGGCTCACATGGTAAAGCACCTGCCTAGCAAGCGTGAGGCCCTGAGTTCAAACTCCACTACCACCATAAAAAAAAAAAAAAAAAGAAAAGAAAAGAAAAGAAATGTGCATTTAACACATGATAATCAAGAAGGTCGGGTGTGGTGCTGCACACCTGCAATCCCAGTTACTCAGAAGACAGAGTTAGGATGCAGGCTCAAGGCCAGCCTATGCCCAGTTAGTGCAAGACCCTAACTGAAAAAAAAAAATCCACAAATACTATTTAAAAAGCAAAAGAACTGGGGCACGGCTCAAATGGTAGCAAGCATGAGGGCCTGGGTTCAATCCCCAATATGACAAAAAACAAATATAAATCAAACCATAATGAGATACACCTCATACCCCTAGCATAAGCATAATTAAAAACCACTAAACACTATGCACTGGTGCGTAGGTACGCTGCTGGCAGGAACATGCAATGAATGATGCAGCCACTCTGGAAACATAGCTGCAGCGTATCAAACAGTTACACAGAGTTATACAGAACAAGCAAGTCCACTCCTGGCCAGTAACATGAAAGAAGTGAGAACAAACACTCTCAAACACATGCACGGGCATGCTAAAAAAACAGCACTAGGACAACAGTCAAAAGACGGAAACACCCAACTGTCCATGGATGGATGGGGAAATAAGATGCAGTGTACAGATACAATAGAGTATTACTCAGCCATAAAAGGACGGAATACTTTCCCTAAAACAATGAAATACATGTTACAATGTAGCTGAAAGTCCAAAATATTATGCTGAGTGCAAGAAGGCAAACACAAAAGGCCACTTACCTGATCCATGTACACGAAATACCCAGAATAAGTAAACCCGTGGAGACAGAAAGCAGATTAGTGATTGCTAAGGCTGAAGGGAGGGGAGAATGAGAAGTAACTGATTAATGCATTTGGGGGTTTCTTTTGGGGATGATAAGAATGTTCCAGAACTAGGTATAAGTGAACATCAAAAATTTATCAAATGCCACTGCACTGTTAACTTTAAAATGATTAACTTTATGTTATGTGAATTTCACCTCAATAAAAACAAATTTTTTTTTTTGAAAACCCTACTTTTTCCCATCATGAATTCCTTCCAAAAATGCCAAGAAAGAGTATCTAAAATACTCCAAAAGATGGTTCAGGTCTTCCCACACCAAGCACGCTCAAATTCTCTGTTAGACTGTACATACTGGGATTTCCACGAACTTTTCTTCTACCTGATCTGCACAGGCAGCCCCCAGTCCATACCCTCCACCGGACTCGTCACATAAAGCGCTTACGAACTGCTGGAATACTCCAGAACAAAAGGAGCAAATGGGGCAGGCACCCACACTTGCAACTGGTTTTTCAGGCACTAAACACTTAAGCATATCACGCTGCTGAGTGCCATCATCTTTAAAAACAAACAAACAACAAGCAAATAAACACTGGCTCACTCACAGCAAGATAAACACCATCCACCAGCATGAGTTAGGGAGAGACCTGGCTGCAAATGCTGTGAAACCTAACTTAGGCAGAGGAGGCGGCATGGCAAAGATGCAGAGGTTATCCCGCAGGCCAGGGGCACACGCAAAATCACTCAGAGCGTTGTAAAAAGGACTATGACTTTCAACGTCCTGTTCATCAAGTGACTTATATTTATTTTTATAATGCTAAAGATTCAGCCATTTCCCATTCCACACATACAAACTTTAAATTGAGCACAGAACCCGTAAGCTGTAGCTCAAATTGGGAGAATGGCTACCTTTTGCGAGCCCAATATTTTGAATTTTGTATGTGCCAAGCTAACAACAGAATCAGAATAAGCTCCATGATCTTTGAGTTTTCTAACTACAAGCATTCAAACAACAGTGGTGATGTAAGAAGTGCTTAAACAGCTTTTGCCGAAAAGCACTGATTGCTTACATGGGCCCATGAATTAACTAAAAACAGGAAAATCTTGGCATCCCTGCCTTCATTTTGTATCTGTCTTTGCTCTAAGCAATTCTCTTTGCAGTCACTTTGCAGTCACCTTGGATTCCAGAAAGGACAGAACTGGTAACATCTTTATGACAAGGGACTGAAACTTCCTGTAAGGAACAGTGGAAACTTGCAGGACAGATCACCCCTCCAAATGAGGGCAATTACCCATAATGGTGAGGCTGCACCCTGGAGCAGCAGCATTCAGGTCATGGGAACCAGATCCCTCCCCTCAAGTGATGACAATGATAACATCTTCTCCAGAACCCTTCTTGGAACCCTAGGACTGAGATAATGGTCAACCAGAACACACCTGCGACTGGGACTGTTTAACTGTGCACACCTTTTGTCCCCTGTCCCCAGTTCTTCTATTTAAACCTATCGCTCATGCCTGTACCCTGAAGACAGCTGAAGATGGCCTGAGTGCTTACTCTGCCTCTTCCCACGGCAAGTCCCGAGCTGTGTGATAAGCCTCCTTTCTCTTCCTTCACCATGCCTCTTTATTTGGCATTTAGGGGCAGGTGACCTGGCATGTGGAATCTCAGGAGTTTGGGTCTTGGGTTCAAAACTCTGGTTTCAGTGACTAATTCTCAGGCAATTGGAATTGCTGTGATGGCTAAGCTTCTATAGTTGTCCTTAGCTGAATAGTAGGATAGAGTCCTTAAGTGTCTGCTTAAGCAGTATTCTCATGGGGAGGGGAGTCAGAATGATGACAACCAATTATGGTGAAGATTAACAAGTTTCAAATAAGGAAAGATGCAAAACAGACTAAGAAATAGGTGGAAGAATATTTAAGAGATACATGCAAGGCCAGCCATGGTGGTGCACCCTGTAATCCCAGGACATGGGAGGTGGAAGCAGGATTACGAGCTCTAGGCCACACAGTGAGACCCTTTCTCAAGAAAGAAAAGAAAAAAAAAGGAGGATTCCAAGATGGCGGCTAGAGGGAGGAAGCAGAAAGCATGGCTCCTAAAGTAAAATCTTGGAGAGACGCTGGAGATACACCTTGCACGATAAACCACCAAGAAGAGGCAAAACTCCAACACCTCCACACCCCCAGCCCGTGCATAGCATCCCCACTCCACATTAAACGGAGAAACCAGGAGGGCTCCTGTGCTGCCAGACGCCAGCTCCTATCCTGCTTGGGAGAAGCAGACCACCAGGTGAGCCCAAGCGGCATGCGGTTTTTCTCCCCACAGACAACCCTGGGCC